TTATGTATTGTTAATCATCAGTTGTGACAGGCTTGCGACGGAAGTGCCTGTGAATTGTTTAAATAACCCCTTTCTTTGACAAGTGATGAATTCATATTAACCCTATATGTTGTCTGCTGTCCTCAACTCTAAAAAATATTGCATTTACTTATATTTTCATTAAAATATTATTAAATATATCTAGATATACCTACATTACTGCTGTTGTCTATTTTAGAAGCAGTAAAGTTAATAATACTGCCAATACATAAAGAACATTTTAAGGAAACTATTATTGGAAACGCAACAGTATATCTATCTATTGATTATTGATACAGTTTCTTGACCAAGCTAGTGTTTCTTTAATGTGAATGAATTTATTATTCCACCTTGCAATTCTATTCTTACTGAATTAAATATAAGCACGAGAAGCACAAAAATAGACTAACAGTAAACAAATTAAAAAATAGCAGGAACTTGTTTCTAGAGAGAATTACTTGCAGGATGTTTTTCATAGTCGTAAGAAAAAAATCTTTATTGAAAAAAAAAACTAATAATAATTAGAAATTGAAATTAAAAGATTAAGGGCCGATCTTTTCACCTCTAAGTAAAGTTACATGTAGGTTTACTTGACAGATTAACGAACAATAGCCCTATAGTTTAATCAGCAAGTAGTCACTTTCAACTTTACTCAGAGGTGAAAAAATTGGCCCTAAGAATCTATTTACAGTCGACTTATTAATAGTCCATAAACATGAGTGTGACGCCGATGGTGTTGAGATATGTATTTTATTTTAATTTGTATTTTGTTTTAATTGTCAGTGGATATTGATTTTTTGAGTAGCTCTCAGCGGAAAAGGAAAAGTGATAAAATTGTAATATTATTATAGAAATTAAGAAAAATATAAAAAATTAGGTATAAAGAAAATTGTATTTTAAGAAGGTAATATAAAAATAAAAAGTAAATTAATAATAAAATTAATTAATATATTCTCTCAGTTGGCGCTTATTTATAGCTTTTTATTTAAAAACTGAACACTGCAATGTTAATTTACGAATGCCAGGATTCAAATAAATAATATTTCACTCCAATTAAGAATTAGAGTCATGCTAAATTTAAAATACGCATTCTTGGTTACATATTAAAATAGCCCATATCAAAGTTGGCTATTAACATTCGTTTTCAGTCAAATTTACATTTAATGCAGTATCCAACCAACTTTAATATGGGCTTACTTTTTAATTACACCCCGTATAGTATTTTTTATCTTTAATTAATTACACTGGCAAACAAAAATCCACTTGTTTTTTGTGACAAGAACAAGTGTTTATTATGTAAAAATTGCCACAAAAGCAGAAAATAGCTACAGATTTCTTCTATCACCTATAGTTTTTTTGCTATGAGGTATTTTTGCTTTTTAAGAAAACCTTACAATGTTACTGTTGATGTTTTTCGGCGATATTTTGTTTTTGGAGTATCCCTTAACAATATCCAGCAGTAATCGGCAAGCAAACTGGCACTCCACTTGCTTTGGTACCGTTTCCTTATAGCAGAAATGTCTTGGTGGAACCGTTACCCATGTTCGTCACTTACCGTCCCTAAATTTTCGGGGAAGAAATCCAGATGGGAGTCCAGAAAGTAAATTTTAAGGGACATGTTACAACCCATTTCTTCATAGGCAGTAAGTAGTTCAGTCACAAGATCTTTGTAATTATCAGCTTTTACATTTCCAAGAAAATTTGCAACAACGCTTTTAAAATCACTCCAGTCTCGTAGTTTAGTTTCATTGAGCATTTCCTCAAATGTTTTAACTTTCATTACTTCTCTTATTTGCCAACCCACAAATATGCCCTCCTTAATTTTTGCTTCACTGATTCTTGGAAATTTTTGTTTCAGATACAAGAACCCTCTTCCATTTCTGTCCATTGGCTTAACAAAATTCTTCATTAAACCCAATTTAATATGCAAAGGTGGTAGTAATACCTTTTTGGGATCAACTAGAGGTTCATTGAGTAACGTTTTTGTGTCCCAGAGTTAGTGCCTGACGTACTGGCCACTGCTTCTGTACATAATGACGGTTTCTCGCACGGCTGTCCCATTCGCAAAGGAAGCAACAATATTTCGTATTTCCTAGTTGCATTCCAAGAAGAAGGGCTATTACTTTTAGATCTCCACATATTGCCCAACCATACTCATGATAACGGATGTGCTCTAAAACAACTCTCATATTCTCATATGATTCCTTCATATGAACCGCATGAGCTAAGGGCACAGATAGATATTCGTTACCGTTATGAACCAATACCGCCTTTAAACTAAGTTTAGAGGAATCAATGAATAGACGCCAATCACGTGGATCATGTTCCTGTCCTAGTGCGTTAAACAAAGGGTTAACTTCGGAACAGTATACTAGATTCCCTTCGTGAAGAAAGCAATTTGTGAGATCTTTCTGCCTTTTTCTGTAAAAAGTAATCTTTACATCACTTTGGAGAAGATTCCAACCTTTTAGTCTGGATGCTAAAAGTTCGGACTGCGATTTTGAAAGGCTTAGATCTCTAACTAAGTCATTAAGTTCACCCTATGAAATTAGATGCGGTGCTGTTGAACATTTTGGTAAATCAAATAAAGGATCGGTTGTCATTTCCTTTGCGATTTCTGTAACATCACTTAAAGAACCAGTCGATTCTAGTTCTTCATCGAGACTCCGTGCTTTTGGAATAGGAAGTTGTTCACTGTGTTTGACAGGTCTTAAAGCTGATGGTAAATTACAGTACTTAACAGTATGTTTAGACTTCGGTCCAATACCTTTAATATTCGTGAGGTTTTTCTCCAAACCATTGGTACTGCGAAGGGTATTTTACGATTTGAACCTTTTAACCAAGCTGTTAACAATGTTACACAAGTTTTACAACAGATATGAGGGGCCCATCTTTGTCTTGGTCCCCAACTTTAACACCAAAATATAGTTCGCAAATTTTTAGCACAAGCGGAGTAAAATTACGTTTTTGCGATTTAAAAGATCCCTGGGTAGCTATTCTTGACTTCCAGGGAATAGAAAACCGGTTTTTCCTCTTTATCTGCTACGCACAAAATTTGTATTTTTGTCTCGTTCTTCCCTCAAAATTTCTACTCCCCGAGATTCAAGAATAGATACCCTGATCCTATGAAAATATGAGAGTGATGCAATATAATGAAATTTTAAGTAGCCGCAGGTTAGAGAATATCTGTGGGTGATAGAAAAATTCTGTTTTCAGATTTTACTTCAGGGCATCAAATTGCATTAAAAACACCTAAAAATTTTCATGTCACAAATTATGTGTCTATCAGTGTTACTTATTAAAGGTTGTCAGTAATAAAGGTTACAAAGATTTAGAAAGTGTATAATTTGTAATGATTTCAATATTTTACTTTTTAATCTCACCTGGTACAATATTATTTTTGGACTTTGTGCATCTGTCAGTAATAAAGGTACAAATATTTACAAATTGTATAATGGGACTGGAGGTTAATATTTTTATTTGTCCTTTTTACTTCCCTTTCTATATACAGATAAGTATAGAAAACATTTTTTCGACGTATTTATATGTTTTGAAGACCCCTGAGTGCGTTTTGACTATTTTTGCAATGATGTCTATGTATGTATCTCTATACTCGATAACTCATTAACTTTAATCCATCCTTCGATGAGCTAATTAGATTTTGGGCATAGTTGGAACATCTGGAGGGTACTTAATAAGGGGTCGTTTTATTACTTTATATAATATAGCAATTATTTAATCTTGGAAAAGAAAATTCTTTAAATAAAAGTTGAATTTATTAAATTAAATAAAAATTTTGCCACCGGTGGGATTCGAACCTGAGACTCTTCGATCTCAAAGTCATGATTCTAACCACTGAGCTAACTCACCCCCGTTTAACTTTATTAATAACAACTTCTGACATATATGTACTAAAAACCTATAAAATCTCAAAAATACTTTAAAACCTAAAAACTTACTCATATATTTTTTAATTCTTAAGTTTTTCCAACCCTTGACATGATTAGTACATTTTCCTACAAAATTGGTTTCAATTCTAAATCCATTGATTACATTTAGGCGGTACCCCGCGCATTTGTAACATCATTATATTCCCTAAAAATCCAAGTGACAGAAACTTCATAGGTATCAGTACGACACAAAAAAATACATACAATTTTGTTCATATTTCTATTTTTGAATCTTTTGTAAGTATTGAACATGAATCCTGAATATGTGAATCGAGTGTCCCAGCAATTTTGGGTTACCCTGTACATTTTAATTACTATTTTTTTCAAGTTTTTTAATTTTGTTAAACCTCAGTAAAACTGTTACCTAGGTACTTACTTTTGAGTGCTTTTGTTTTTCGTTCAAGTAACTGTAGAAAACATTGTATCAAACATGGTCCATGATAGATATTTCAAATATGAAAACTTCATTTGAAATCTGTCATTGTAAGAAACCCTAAGTTTGTTTTTCATTAGTAGGTCCCACTTGCTCCACGTTATAGCGCAATTTTTGTTGATTTCTTTTTTCACAAAGTGCATAGTCAATAATGAGATATTTAAATACTGGAAACAATAGTAAACATGACTAAATATATTGTGTAAAAATTTGAACTCTTTAAACATCTTAAATCCAGAATTATGAAATTACAAAGTCGAATTTTAAAATTATGTTTCTCACAACCTTTATGTTTTTTTAATTCCATACCTATAATCTATTTGAAACTTTTTAGCTTGTCTAGAACACGAATTGAAATATCAAACAATTAAGTACGCACTAAATAAGACAACCCTGTATATCAATAATTTCGAAATTGGAAATTTTAATCTAATTAGATTGTACAGGGCATTTTAAAACATGCATATTAACTATCTGACATTCTGGAAGGTTTTTATAATGATTCTGCAACACTGTGTACCGGTTGTAAACAAAACCACGTGACATTAATTATATAGAAGCATCCGATACATATGTATACAATTAAATCGCCCACTTACCGCCTTAATCTTGAAGAATTTTAATTTCTATACACAACACAAACGGTTTCCAACAAAATCACAACGTTAATTATCACTACTAATTGCACTAAGTCAATTTACAGTGGCAGTTCAATTAAAAACGGCTCTGAATGCTATAATTACCTCTTTAAAATGTCTATTAAAGAATCTTAAACGGTTGTTATTCGTTAAAGATGTTTATTTTTACGATAAATGGAATGTTTATTGTTCGTATGCAACGCGATGATGTTGCCACGACAAGCTTTTAACTCGGAATGAGCTTTGGAAATGAAATCGTACGTCGGTCGAGGAGCTTTCGGCGGAGAGAGCTTTTGGACAAATTTTCATCCATCCCACTCGGCGCTAAGCGCACGCCAGTTTTAAGGGACGGCCTAGGAGGAGGTGACAAACTTGTAGAAAATAGAAGAGGTGGTTTGTGTCATAGTGTCACTTGATGGCTTTTTGAGTGTGTATTAGGACCGACACCCGCTGGAAAGCGAAAAATTAATTGTTAATCAACCCGAAAAAACGTACGATTTTTTTTATAATTTTAAAAATCGTATATACGAGGGTGATTTGATAAAGTCTTAGAACATTATCCAAATTTAAATAAAACTAGATGGTCTGTCGAGGGATCTGGGGTGAGAATGGGCCATGTTCACATGTAAGATATGATGTTTTATAAATTATATTGTAACAGTTATACAAGTTATTCTACATAATCAGTTTGCTAAAAAAGCCAAAAGTTTTTAAATTAAAACCAATTTAAAATCTGAAATGTGTACGTCATCGGGAATAGACCAATCAGGTTGCGTCGAAGTTTTTTTTGTTATACAGAACCAAGCCACTTAAGTGACACTTAAAATTGACACCACCTAGACCACCTAACCTAACATTCGTTTTTTGTTTTGTACACTTTTTTTCTCAATTCTAGATTTATTTCTTCTGTCTTTGCTATTTGGTTTAATTTTATTATTAATATGAGTTTGTCAGCTGGATTTATAAAAGTTGATTCAAGTGTTTTACCAATTGTAAACCAAGATATGATTACCGAGATGATTACTGCATTTTTTAACAATACTCAGTTTATAAAAGACACAGAGGTATGTAAGACTTTATTTATTATTTGTTTTAATAGTAATTACAGTTTATATGGAGCAATACACTTCATAGTAAAAACATATTTATCTCAAGTCATTAGGGTTGTCGAACAGTACTATAATATTTTATGAAATAATTTGGAACATGGAAAAGTAATAAAAATTGAAAAAAATAGAAATCCATAAAAATGTACTCTTGAAAATACCAAAAAAATCATCATAATATTAAATATTTTATTATTTTTAGATCTGCCAAGCAAGTATATGGAGATAATCTGATTCCCCATGAATAACTTGAGAAAAGGAGATATTTGCCCAGTAAACGGAATAATTACACATGAACATAAAGAATTTTGCATTGTTTCTTCCACATTTGAAGTAAATAATGAAATCGATAACAAGTTGAATTTGATACACGGTGCTTGGGAACCAACTTTAAATGAAAAGTTTATTTACTAGACTTTTTTGAGAAAACTCAATTTTTAATGAAAAAGTGGCCTATTTTTTACTTTATTGCTTGTAACTTGCGCATTTTACATTTTCTCGGCTTGCCAAAAGTAAATTTCAATGGGAAAATGTCCGCTCTACAAAAAAGCATCAATGAATTTTTTCTCTAAAAATAGCCGATTTTGAGTTAAATGAGATCTCAATTCGGCTGTAAAAGCCAGTATTTTTCGAGAAAAGTCTAAATAAAATCCTCAATTTTACAGGTTATATTCACAAAATATTTACTCTGTATGACAGATTCGATCTTTAAAATTACAATGTTGCCAAGTTGTTAATGAAATTCTCTGTTTTAGGATTATTTAAAATGTATAAATTACGAGATTATAAAAAAGAAGACGAAGCAAAGACTTCTCGTGCAGCCTGGAATCTTCACGGGTTGCTTCGCAATAAAAATATACGTAAAATAAGTAAAATTAAACAAATATTAACTCATTTATCTAGCCTGTGAGGCCTGGAATCACCACGGGTTGCTTCCCAAAAAAATATAGATAAAATAAGAAAAATTAAACAAATTTTAATTAATGTACCTAACCTGTGCGGCCTGGAAACATCTTGGGTTGCTTCCTAACAAAATATACATAGAATAAGAAAAATAAACAAATATTAACTAATTTATCTAACCTGGAGTCACCACAGGTTGCTTCGCAAAAAAATATACATAAAATAAGAAAAAAATAAACAAATTTTAACTAATTTACCTAGCCTGTACGGCCTGGAATCACCACGGGTTGCTCCTCATAAAAATATACATAAAATAAAAAAAATTAAACAAATTTTATATAATTTACCTAACCTGTTAGCCTGGAATCATCACACGTTGCTTCTCAAAAAAATATACATAAAATAGGAAAAATTAAACAAATATTAACTAATTTATCTAACCTGTGCGGCCTGGAGACATCTCGGGTTGCTTCGCGAAAAAATTATACATAAAATGAGAAAATTGAAAACAAAATGTGTATTTTCGAGCTACACTTTATTGAACAAAACAATTTTCTAACACCAACTTAGATATTATTGGACAGTGATTTTATATTCAAGGGTTTGGCAAGGTTTCAAACTCAAGGACCGTATGTGTCAACAATGAGGCATGTTCAAAAATTTTGAATTTTTTTTTATGAATAATAGAGTTCAAAATAAAGTTACATTTATTTTTTTTTTATCTATTCATTTGCCCGAGTTATTAATTTTTTAAATAGGAACTAGCCACACAACGTTGCCAGTTAGACGGAATACGAAAAGTAATATACGTTCGTTTGTGTGCACCATCTTACTTTTAGACTTCTAAAATATCGTTAAATAAATATCTTTTAAATATAAAATATCAAATGTTTTTAAAAGTATTATTTATGTTTAAACTTTCACCATATTTATAGTTTCATTGTTTTAAAAAACGGCAACTAATAATACTCTCCCCTCCCCTCCCATCTGTGAATCAGGAATTTTTGTGTTGTCAATCGATAATTATGCAAGTTTGATGTTTTTATAAATATTATAAGTATGAAAAAAATGTTTCCTCCCAAGATGTGATAATGATTTACATTTTACATTCATTATTAAAATATGTATTAGTGTTGCTAGAAATATGAAAAGACGAAAATTATTATCATTACACAGAAAGGCTTCAAGGAACAGCTAAATTATTTTGTTGAGGTTTGTATCTATACTCTTTATTAAAATAAAAATGTTTTATTGTAATTTAATTATTCAATTATCTACTATTGTAGTAACGATGTTTTTTTCTTTTTTTTTTTTTTTTAGATACCAGATGATTTTGAAAACTGTTCATTTTTTAAATGATGGATAAACCTTTACATATAGGAAGTGGGTAGTACCACACAAATATCTTCACAGTTCTTGTTATTCACCACACAAGAGCCAGCTCACTGATTCTACCAAAAAAAAAAGAAAAACAGAAAACCAAAAAAATGTTGACTGGAAAATAACCTTCTACTAGAAGCATTTTGCATCTCTATTTAATAGACATACACCGGATCTTCAAGATGCAGCAGCAATTTCTGACATTGCCCCCTTCAGTTAATTTAAAATGAGCCTACTATAAGTTCAAAGGTGTATATCCTAAAACCCCTTCTGCAGGAACTTGCCTCGAAATCTCCTGAAAGTTTTAAAGATAGTAAAGTTTTGTCTGAATCGAAAGAAACATCTTTAATATCTGATTCAAAGGGACTTAATAATGAGCAGGATCTTCAAAACCAATAAACTCTCAAAATTAAAAATAAACCGAAGGTATATTTAGGATTGCCCAACAGTGTTTTTAAAATCCTCAATATTTATGAGAAGGAAAGTGTAGCTTACATAAACCTTTTACATTTCTGTGTGAATCAGTGGTATTTTTAACTTAAAAGAACTCATTTTGTAAGACTAAATACCAAATAATTTGATTAATTTATCACATTTTAGAGATTATAATAATTGTATATAAACAAAAATTTAAAATCTGTGAAAATTGTATTTATTAACTTATTATTAAAAAATAAAAATAACTGAATAAAATAAACGAAATAAAAACACTTTATTTACAAATAATAAAAAATATATACACAAGCCCTAACAATAATGTCCTCTAAAAATTCATTATCAAATTCAACTTGTTATCGACTTCATTATTTACTTCAAATGTGGAAGAAACAATGCAAAATACTTTATGTTCATGTGTAATTATTCCGTTTACTGGGCAAATATCCCCTTTTCTCAAGTTATTCATGGGAAATCGCATGATCTCCATATACTTGCTTGGCAGATCTAAAAATAATAAAATATTTAATAATGTGATGATTTTTTTAGTATTTTCAAGAGTACATTTTTATGGATTTCTATTTTTTTCAATTTTTATTACTTTTCTATGTTCCAAATTATTTCATAAAATATTATAGTAGATTTATTCATGTAAATAATAGACATGTGTATAATAGTTGTAACGGAAAGAGTTTGCATATTAACAATTATTTACAAGACATATAACAAGTAGGTAATCCTCGACCAAATAAAAATAGTATTACAGTAAATGTTATTTAGTTTTAATTTTTGAGGTAGGCAAATTGTATGAACTCGTTTTATACAATAACAAATTTGCTATTTCTCAGGTAATACATAATTATACTTTTACTTCTAATTATAGAAATAATACCAACAGCACAGCTTTAAACATCGAAAAATATATTTTTCTTATAAATATAAATGAAGTAAAGGGTAAAGAAAGTTAAATGTTTATTTTTGAAAAACTGTTGCTGTTCGACAACCCTAATGACTTAAGATAAATATGTTTTTACTATGAAGTGTATTGCTCCATATAAACTGTAATTACTATTAAAACAAATAATAAATAAAGTCTTACATACCTCTGTGTCTTTTATAAACTGTGTATTGTTAAAAAATGCAGTAATCATCTCGGTAATCATATCTTGGTTTACAATTGGCAAAACACTCGAATCAACTTTTTATAAATCCAGCTGACAAACTCATATTAATAATAAAATTAAACCAATTAGCAAAGATAAAAAAAATAAATCTAGAATTGAAAAAAAAGTATACAAAACAAAAAACGAATGTTAGGTTAGGTGGTGTCAATTTTAAGTGTCACTTAGATGTGCGTTCACTTTGACATTCTGTGTGTCGGTTTGTTCGTTGTCTTGATTCTGTATAACAAAAATATATAGAATAACTTGTATAGCGACTAACTGTTACAATATAATTTATAAAAC